TGTGTGTGTGTGTGTGTGTGTGTGTGTGTGTGTGTGTGTGTGTGTGTTAAAATATATGTAGCATAAAATTGACCATTTTAACTATTTTTGTGTGTATGATTCAGTGGTGTTCACATTGTTGTACAACCATAACCACTATCCATCTCCAGAACTTCTTCATTTTCCCAAACTGAAACCCTGTACCCATTCAACAATAACTCTCCATTCTTTCTACCTCCCAGCTCCCACCATCCTTTCTGTATCTATGAATTTGACTACTTAGGTGCCTTACATAAGTGGAATCACAGTATCTGCCTGTTGTGTGTGGCGTGTAGGAATTCCGTTTTTTTGTAGTTGTTTATTTATTTATGAGACAGTCTCATTGTGTCACCCTGGAGTGCAGTGGTGTGATCAGTCACTGCAGCCTCTATCTCCTGGGCTCAGGTGATCCTCCCACCTCAGCCTTTGGAGTAGCTGGGACTACAGGCATGCACCACCACACCTAATTTTTGTATTTTTAGTTTATTTTGAGATGAAGTCTCTGTCATCCAGCCTGGAGTACAATTGCATGGTCTCGACTCACTGCAACCTCCCCCTTTTGGGTTCAAGCAATTCTCCTGCCTCAGCCTCCTGAGTAGCTGGGACTACAGGCACGTGCGACCACACCCAGCTAATTTTTGTATTTTTAGTAGAGACGGGGTTTTCACTATGTTTGGCTAGGCTGGTCTTGAACTCCTGACCTCGTGATCCACCCACCTCAACCTCCCAAAGTGCTGGGATTACAGGCATGAGCCACTGTACCCAGCCTAATTTTTGTATTTTTAGTAGAGATGGGATTTTGCAATGTTTCCCAGGGTGGTCTCCAACAACTGGCCTCAAGTGATCTGCCCACCTTGGCTTCCCAAAGTGCTGTGCTGGGATTACGGGCTGAGATTACACCGTGCCCAACCTTATGCTGTATTATTTTTTATTTTTTACACTCGCCTCTCCCTGTTTTATGCTGTATTCTTTTTTATTTTTATTTTTTGAGACAGAGTCTTGGTCTGTCGCCAGGCTGGAGTGCAGTGGTGCAATCTCGGCTGACTGCAACTTCCGCCTCCTGGGTTCAAGCCATTCTTCCACCTCAGCCTCCCGAGAAGCTGGGACCACAGGCGCATGCCACTACACCTGGCTAATTTTTGTATTTTTAGTAGAGACGGGGTTTTACCATGTTGGCCAGGATGGTCTCGATCTCTTGACCTCGTGATCCGCCCACTTTGGCCTCCCAAAGTGCTGTGATTAGAGGCATGAGCCACCGCGCCCAGCCTATGCTGTATTCTTAAAGCCAGTTCTTACTCGCTTGAATTTCTGTTTTATAGCTTAGATTCCAAATGAAAATGTTTGAAAGTGCTGACTCTACAGCCACAAGATCTGGCCAGGATCTCTGGGCTGAAATTTGTTCCTGTCTGCCAAATCCTGACCAAGAAGATGGTGCCAACAATGCCTTCTCCGACTCCTTTGTGGATTCTTGCCCTGAAGGTGAATGCCAGACGGAGGTGGCTGACTTTGCTGTCCAGACAGCTGTAAAGCCTTGGGCTCCCTTGCAGGATTCAGAAGTGTATTTAGCATCTCTAGGTAAGTTTGATGGCTCTAGGGAAGCATATTGAAGTTCTGTTACATCAAACTTGGTTTCTTCCCCACTTCAGAACCTCCCCACTCTGAATCTCCAAAGTCCATTATACCACTTTGTATACCTTTGTGTATGTACCTATAGCTTAGCTCCCACTTATAACTGAGAACATATGGCATTTGGTTTTCCATTCCTGAGTTACCTAACTTAGAGGATAATGACCTCCAGCTCCATCTTAAGTTGCTTCAAAAGACATTATTTTATTCTTTCTTATGGCTGAGTAGTGTTCCATGGTGCATATATTCCACATTTTCTTTAAACACTCATTGCTTGAAGGGCATTTAGGTTGGTTCCATATTTTGCAATTGTGAATTGTGAAACCTGCGTACAGGTGTCTTTTTGATATAATTACTTCTTTTCCTTTGGGTAAACACTTCTTTTCCTTTGGGTAAAACACCTTTTCCTTTGGGTAAACATTGCTGGATCAAATGGTAGATCTACTCTTAGTTCTTTGAGAAATCTCCCTATGTTTTCCATAGAGGTTGTACTGATTTACATTCCCATCAGCAGTGTATAAGCATTATCTTTTTACCACATCCATGCCAACATCTATTGTTTTTTGACTTTTTGATAGTGGCCATTCTGGTTAACATGGTATCTTGTGGTTTTGACTTGCATTTCCCTGATGATTAGTGATGCTGAACATTTTTTTATAGGTTTGTTAGCCATTTGTATATCTTATCAAATCCCATTGAGAAATGTCTATTCATGTCATTTGCCCACTTTTTGTTGGGATTATTTGTTTTTTTCTTTCTGATTTGTTTGAGCTCCTTGTAGATTCTGGGTATTAGTCCTTTGTTAGATACATAGTTTGCAAATGCTTTCTCCCATTCTGTGGGTTGTCTGTTTGCTCTGACGATTATTTCTTTTGCTGTGCAGAAGCTTTTTAGTTTAATAGGTCCCATTTATTTATTTTTGTTTTTGTTGCATTTACTTTTGGGATCTTTGTCATTTAAATTCTTTGCCTAGGCCAATGTCTGGAATAGTTTTCTTTTATAATTTTGAAGATTTTAAGTTTTATATCCATCTTGAGTTGATTTTTGTATGAGAGATAGGGATCTAGTTTTATTCTTCTACATGTGGCTGGCCAGTTTTCCCAGAATCATTTGTTAAATAGGGTGTCCTTTCCTCAATTTATGTTGTTGTATGCGTTGTCAAAGATCAGCTGCAAACCTGGGAAGAATTATTTGAGGAAGGAAAGGCAATTCAGGTAGAAGGAACTTCTAAGGGAAGACAGAAAGAAGAGAAGAGAGCTTGCATGATAGCTAAGAAATATCTTGGGAAAACAAAAGGGAATTTGTTAATGATATACTGGCGGAGAAAGATATGAGATAAACATAGGTGGAATGATAGAAAGATAGGAAGTAATGTGAAATTTGCCAGGAAGCCACCAAAGATAGGATAGTAATGCTTGTAGCCATGGCCTAGGGGATGAAAATTCTGTATGTGGTAGCAAGATTATCTGTTTAATGATGATAAGGAGAAGAAGCAACAGTCTGAGAAAGCTGAACAACCAGATTCCTTGGTTTGTTGGTTTTCTATGGCCAGGGCTTCTAAGAAACGTTCATAAAAGTCAGGCATGTTGGCTCACACCTATAATCGCATCACTCTGAGAGGCTGACGTGGGAGGATCACATGTAGGCCAAGAGTTTGAGACCAGCCTGGGCAACATAGCGAGACTATCTTTACAAAAATATTTTTAAAAATTAGCCTGAAGTGGTGGATGCCTGTAATCGCAGCTATTCAGGGGGCTGAGGTGGGAAGACTGCTTGAGCCTAGCAGTTGTTTGAGGTTACAGTTAGCTGTAATTGTGCCATTGCACTCCAGCTTGGCTGACAGAGCAAGACCATGTTGAAAAAGAGAGAAAAGCCAGGCATGGTGGCTCACACCTGTAATCTAAGCACTTTGGGAGGCTGAGGCAGGCGGATCACAAGGTCAGGAGTTTGAGACCAACATGGCCAATATGGTGAAACCCTGTCTATAGTAAAAATACATTTAAAAAAATTAGCCAGGTGTGTTGATGGGTGCCTGTAATCCCAGCTACTTAGGAAGCTGAGGCAAGGAGAATCACTTGAACCTGGAAGGCAGAGGTTACAGTGAGCCGAGATCCCACCATTGCACTCCAGCCCAGGTGACAAGGAAAAATCCATCTCCCCAAAAAAAAAAAAAAAAAAAAAGGAGAGAGAGAGGAAGAGAAGGAAAGAGAGAGGGCACACTTTGGAAGGCCAAGGTGGACAGATCACATGAGGTCAGGAGTTCAAGATCATCCTGGCCAACATGGCAAAACCCTGTCGTTACTAAAAATACAAAAATTAGCCAGGTGTGGTGGTGTGCCCCTGTAATCCAAGCTACTTGGGAGGCTGAGGCAGGAGAATCACTTGAACCCAGGAGGCGGAGGTTGCAGTGAGCCGAGATCATGTCACTGCACCCCAGCTTGTGACACAGAGTGAGACTCTGTCTCAAAAAAAGAAAAAGAAAACAAGAAAAGAAAGAAAGAAGAAAGAAAAATTTAATGAAGACAGTGATGATTTTCATTAGTGAAGACTGGCTTGGAAAGTTAACTGATCTTTCCTAAAGTCAGATAAGAAGTTTTCATCTTGAAGAAAGTAAGAGTCATTTCTGTTGCCAATGGCATGGACTGGGAGACAGTGGCAGACAGGTAGGTACGTGTCGTGTTAACGCCCATATCTGCCTGCCCTATTGAAATCACACCTAACCAGGGACTCAGCATACTTAGAGAGGAGATCTTTTCCAGCCCAAAAGAGTACCTTCCACCTTGACAACTGAGGCCAGACAATATGAAGTTTTTGTTGCTAAATAACCTATATCAAAGAGAATCCACTGATAAGAGCAGTAATTAAAATCTGAGTTAAAGGTATGCTATGCATAACCATTTTTATATCCTCAAGGAGACGACAAACCCTGCAAATATTTAATGTATATCAATTGCAGGTTTTTTTACATGGGTGAGCTCTTGGTGGTAGTAACAGGAACAAAAGGTATTTGTTTTGACCAATGGGTGTTAGCTGATGTCACTTTTTTATAAATGAAAACAGAACTGCAGATCATAGTTTCTACTGGTTCTGAGCTTGATGTTTACCACTCTACCCTGCCACCATTTACCTATATACTTATAGTTGAAGGCAAAACCAAATTGAGGCAGATGGTAAATGGTGATGTCCTTTTTTGTATTCTTCAAAGCGGAAAATCTGTTAAACAATTAGAGTTAAAAAGCAAAGAAGAGTAATTTAACCTCTACCATCAAGAAGCCATAGGGCCACTCATGAGATTAGAAGACGTTTGTTTTTATTAGACTCCAGCATCCAGACCACAAGTTGAGCAACTTTAAAAAACACTGGGAGATTCTTTTTCTTTTTGAGGGGGACAGTCTCACTCTGTCACCCAGGCTGGAGTGCAGTGGTGAGATCTCGGCTCACTGCAACCTCTGCCTCCCAGGTTCAAGCAATTCTCCTGACTCAGCCTCCCGAGTACTGGGACTACAGGCGCATGCCACCACGCCAGGCTAATTTTTTATATTTTTAATAGAGATGGGGTTTCACCATGTTAGCCAAGATGGTCTCAGTCCCCTGACTTCGTGATCCGCCCACCTTGGCCTCCCAAAATGCTGGGATTACAGACATGAGCCACTGTGCCTGGCTGGGAGATTCTTTTCTTTTAACAAGAATTTAATCACACATAGATTTTAAAGGTCTCTTATTACTGAGTTCTCCTCAAATCAATTTTAATATCTAATTAGCCATGGATCTTTCATCATTTTCTCTAATTCTTTCTCATGACATTTGGAAACCATGTTACTGTAACAAAAAGAAAAACCACTTACTCCTCAGAGAGATTATTTTCAAGGAGTTGAAAAAGACAGTAGTATACATATGTCAAACCAGGGAAAGCAAGCATTCCTCAGAGAGATACCTGCTGGGCTTATGTGATTTCAAAGAAAACCAATCATTGATTTATTTATGAGAACCTATGGCTTTTCCCTTTTCTGGGGTTAAACATTATTTGATACAATGCAAGGTGAGGACTTTGTAAAGGGAAGAAGAATGTTCTTAAAAAATGACCTGTTTTGCAGGGAATGTGGATGTCCTGATTAATCAGTGAGAGAATTTTTAAGTTGGTATTTTGAGTTTTAGATTTAGTTAAAATTTCATCTCATACTCACTTTCCTTATTAAGCTCTACTTCTCTCTCTAGAGAAAAAGCTAAGAAGAATCAAAGGCTTAAATCAGGAAGTGACTTCTAAGGACATGCTTCGAACCCTGGCCCAAGCCAAGAAGGAATGCTGGGATCGGTTCCTCCAGGAGAAGTTAGCCTCAGAGTTCTTTGTGGATGGACTTGATTCTGACGAAAGGTAATAGATTCCCAGGCTAGTTCCAGCTGAAATCATACTTTATGTAGTTGCTCTATTTGTTTTTTTTGGTTTTTTTTTTTTGAGACGGAGTTTCGCTCTTGTTACCCAGGCTGGAGTGCAATGGCGCGATCTCGGCTCACCGCAACCTCCGCCTCCCGGGTTCAGGCAATTCTCCTGCCCCAGCCTCCTGAGTCGCTGGGATTACAGGCACGCGCCACCATGCCCAGCTAATTTTTTGTATTTTTAGTAGAGACGGGGTTTCACCATGTTGACCAGGATGGTCTCGATCTCTTGACCTCGTGATCCACCCACCTCGGCCTCCCAAAGTGCTGGGATTACAGGCTTGAGCCACCGCGCCCGGCCGCTCTATTTGTTTTTAGCCCAGCATTTTTAAGAACAGACTTTTTTGCCAAATGGCAAATGTTGCAGCTACATGTTAGTCACAGACTGAATAGAGTTAAGGATAAACCATTGTGTTCATTTTTAAGTATTCGATGCACTTGAGAAAGTAGTAATCAATCAATCTCTCTTATTTTCTTGAATTCTTTTTCATGAGGTTTGGAAACCATGTTACTGTAACAAAAGAAAAAACCATTTACTCCTCAGATTATTTTCTGGAACTATCTCTTTATCTCTTCTTACCTCTGAATTTCCACCACCTTACAGATTTTTTGTTTGTTTGTTTTTTGTTTTTTTTTTGAGACGGAATCTCACTCTGTTGCCCAGGCTGGACTGCAGTGGCACGATCTCAGCTGACTGTAATCTTTGCCTTCTTGGTTCCAGGGATTTTTGTGCGTCAGCCTCCCGAGTAGCTGGGACTACAGGAGTGCGCCACCACATCCAGCTACTTTTTGTATTTTTAGTAGACATGGGATTTTACCATGTTGGCCAGGTTGGTCTCGAACTTCTGACCTCAGGTGATCTGCCCACCTTGGCCTCCCAAAGTGCTGGGATTTCAGGCATGGGCAATCGTGCCCAGCCTGGCTTACCGAATTGTCAAATTGTAGCCACTCAATGAATTTATGTAGACTAAATGAATGAATTTATGAAGCATCCACTGTGTGATAGCACTGTGCTTGGCATCAGGGAGGGAATGGTATGAGGAAGTTTTAGAACCATTTGGTTTTGTCCTCCGAACTACTTGCAGGCAGTTGACAAATATATATGAAGAGATACCTAACAATACCAGGCAGCAATAAGAGAAGGCCAGTTGAGAAGTGACAGAACATGCTTTGGGAATTGAAAGACCACTAAGCTCCCTCCTGGCTTTGGTGTTTTGCCATAGAGGGAGGCAGGACTTGAACAGTATCTGCAGGTGGTTTAGATGCAGAAGGACAGAGACAGCCTGCTGGCACAGTGAACAGGAATGGGGCTTGACATTCAGGAAATTGGCTCTGCCACTTACTGGTTGTATGTTCTTGGGTAAGTAACCTGTGTGTGCCTCAGTTCCTGATCTGTGAAATGGGAGCAATCAGCTCTTACCTCATAAGTTGTTATGAAGGTTTAATGAGTTACTATTTGTAAAGGGAATAATGCCTAGCACATGGTAAGCACTACAGAAGTGTTGGCTGTTACTAACATTATTCTTCCTAACAGAATTTTAGAGTTTTATAAGAAATTATTCAAAATAAAAATCAATGGGGGAGTAAAAAATTGAATGTTAACAAAAGGTCTTAGGGAAATGTGATTTAACTTGAGTTTGTAATGTATGGAGATTGGTAGACTGGTGTTGAGAGTCCCATCATGACAGAGGAAGTAATGCTGCAGAAATCAGGACAGTATGTGAATAAAACTTCATAGGCACATTTACTTACAAATTTGCAAAATACTTTCACTTACATTATTTCAAATGCTGAATCAGCATGCCTATAGATGCTTCAGAAATCATCGTAGCATCTAAGGTCAGGCCAACTACCCTCTGAGGGTTCAGGAAATCATATCCATTTTGCTCTTTTCTATCTTTAAAGGTCCAACCTAATTAAGTCTTAAATTGCTCCAAACATAGGAGATTTGAAGATGCAGACTCCTGACCCACTGATAATTTGGTATTTACTTATATTCTCTCTCCCCCTGAATAATTCCCTTCTCTCAGCTCTGAGAAGAAAAGACAAAACTTCTCCTGTGTCATTCTCAAGTAGAAATCCTTTTTCTCTGAAATCAGATCAGCATGTTCCTGTGGATTTATCAATATGTAAAATAATGTGGTTTTTCCCTTCTCTATGAATATAATTTGAACAATTCTATGAAAAGCATGGTAAATGAAGATTAAATGCTGTGTCACACCTGATTTCCCTGAGCTGTGAGCACTAGAGTCAATCAGCTGCTCTCATTGCCCTCTCACATTTGGATCTTTTCCCCAGAGCCTACATCTGTGGGAATGTTTCTATCATTGTTCAGAACAAACACCAGGAAACACTAGCTGTGCATTTGTTTTCAAACTTCAAAATCTATCTTTTAAGCAGAGGCCATTTTGTAACGGGGTTGTATAGGTCTACACGTATGTGAGGGCCAGGTACGTGACCCTCCTTGTGGTGTGCTTTTGGCAGGGGAAAAATGGGCTAAGAAATCTAACTGTCCAAAACATAATTTCCCTATACACCCAGAGATGTCTAAAATCTGCTGTTATGGTATTCTTTCTTAAGACTTTGTGCTATTGAGGAACATAGAATAAGGTTGACATTATTTCTACTCACTTATATTTTACTGTGACTAATAGCTTTAGGGTACAGGGTCCTGTAAGGAAGGCAGGTAGGGGACCTTGAGCTTGACAATTATATCTCCCCTCTCCCTACAGATCCAGACAAAAAGAGAGGCCTCTGGCATAGTACTCATTCCCTTGTGGGGGATATTTGCTGCTCAGATGTTTTTATCTTAGGGACTTGCTATAGGATGAAATAAACAAACGCACAAAAAAGTGGTATAATGGAGTCCCAGATTGCCTCAGCTATAAGAGGCAAAAGATGCTCAGATTTTTGCCTCAGTAATAATTTGGTATTTATTTATTTATGCAACAGAATCTTGCTTTGTCACCCAGGCTGCAGTGCAATGTTGTGATCTCAGCTTCCTGCAACCTCCACCTCCTGTGTTCAAGCAATTTTCCTGCGCAGCCTCCTGAGTAGCTGGGATTACAGGCGCGCACCACTATGCCCAGCTAATTTTTATATCTTTTTAGTAGAGTAGGTCAGGTTGGTCTCAAACTCCTGACCTCAGGTGATCTGCCTGCCTTGGCCTCCCAAAGTGCTGGGATTATAGGCATGAGCCACTGTGCCCGGCCATAATTTGGTATTTATCTGAGTGTTTCTTTTCCTTGACAATTTCTCTCCTCTCCTGTTTTGAGTGAAAAAAGACCTATCTTTAGGTCTTTAGGACTGAGGCATAAACTCTTTAGCTGTTCTCATCAAGGCTTCAGAGGCTTTCCATTTTAAGGGGTGCTGCCCGTAGCCAAAGTGCCCAGTATGGGGTAAATTATGTGTAGAGCTGCCAGGATGCACAGCTGCCGGAGGAGTATCCTTCTTCTCCCCAAGTCAGCAGTAAAAAAAACACTGTAGGAAGAAATTGGTAGTTGGTGGGAAGGTAGTGTTTGAGTACTGAGATAATCACTAACTAATTAATCAGTGAGTTCTGACACTACCACCCTTTTCTTCTGCTCTTTCAGCACCTTGGAACATTTCAAGAGGTGGCTACAGCCAGATAAAGTAGCCATCAGCACAGAAGAGGTCCAGTATCTGATTCCTCCAGAGTCACAGGTTGAGAAGCCAGTGGCTGAGAACGAGCCAGCAGCTGCGGACAAGCCAGCAGCAGCAGAACAGTAAATTACACACACACACCGAGCAGCTGTCTCAGGTCCAGAGGGAGCAGCGTGAAGCTCGGCAGCAGAAACAGGGAGAAATCCACTGAGGGAAAAATACCCAACTTTCCACTCCACAAAGAAAATAGCTGCAAGCCCCCGGGGATTTACTTGGGGCTGGCATGTGTGACTGTCTTGGATGAAGTGACTGACGCAGTACGCGCTGGATCAAAATGCTGCTTTCCTCTGTGTCTCACAGCTTGGCTGGGCTCTGTCACTGCAGGTTAGAAGCTTGCTAAGGATGGAATGTGAAAGTTCTTGGAGAAACTGAGGCCCCTCATGTGTAGTGTGTAAGTTAGGTGAGCCATATTTTTTCTTACCTCTTCTGGACATTATTGCTTGTGTCCCAAGCATTCCTTGGTGAATTGTCAGGGGTGAGTGGGGCCAGGAAGAGTGAAGTCTGCTTCTTGAATCCAAGCCCCATCTGGGGCTTCTCTAACAAATGTGTAGTAAGTAAAGGGACTCCAGGGTGAGAGGCTGGGCTTCTTTCTCTCATTTGTTCCTTATGGAGAAAACGAGCAAAAGAAGTGTGAAAATGTGGGTGTTTATGTCCGTATATATATACATATATATATTTTTATTTCATGCATGGCTTCTCTTCCAACTTCCTCCTGCACTTAAAAAGGGCCAGGTTCTGGCCAGGTGCAGTGGCTCACACCTGTAATCCCAGCACTTTGGGATGCCAAGGCAGGCGGATCACAAGGTCAAGAGATTGGGACCATCCTGGCCAATGCGGTGAAACCTTGTCTCTACTAAAAAATACAAAAATTAGCTGGGCGTGGTGGCGTACACCTGTAGTCCTAGCTACTTGGGAGGCTAAGGCAGGAGAATTGCTTGAACCAAGGAGGCAGAGGTTGCAGTGAGCCAAGACTGCGCCACTGCACTCCAGCCTGGCGCCTGGTGACAGAGCAAGACTGTCTCAAAAAAAAAAAAAAAAGGGCCAGGTTCCAAATTAGACTTGTAAATATGGTGTTAGTGTTTGACACTACCCCTGGGTAGTTCCAAACGTCTTCCTTGTGGCAGCTTTCCTGGCTGAGCCTGAGCTTACCTCCGTTTATTGTGTTCATGTTCAGTATGTGTTGTCCACGTAAAACTTTTCTCCATGGAATAGCAGTGTCTGTGGTGCTCTTAACACGACTTCCCCCAGAGGGATGCTCCCAGGAGCATCCGCAGGAGGTAAAAACACATGCATGTCAAGGCACGGGAGCTGGCCACCTTTGCCAGCCTCCTGTTACTAGCATGTGCCCTCTGACAGTCCAGACTTTGGTGTTCTGAGGGTAGGATTCTGAGGCCTTAGCTCCATGGACCTTCTTTCTGGGTAATAGTTTACAAATCCCTAATGATCAGTAGGGTGGCTATAAAAATCTGATCCAGAGAGGAGCTAAAAGAAAAAATAAATAAATCTTCTGAGAACATTTGCCTTTTTTTTTTTTTTTTTGGAGGCAGGGTCTCACTTTGTTGTCCAGGCTGGAGTGCAGTGGTGCAATCATATAGTTCACTGTAACCTCAAACTCCTGAGCTCAGGTGATCCTCCCATCTCAGCCTCCTAAGTAGTTGGAATTACAGGTGCAAGCCACCACACCCCACTACTGTTTGCTCATTTCTAAATCAAGTATTTTCCTTGCCCAAAAGGACAGGAACCAACTAGGTGGTTCCATATACTTGCCTAGTGATATGAATATTTTAATTGTAATATTCAGATATACTTTCTTTTTTTTTTTTTGAGACAAAGGTCTCCTCACTCTGTCACCCAAGTTGGAGTGCAGTGACAATCATGGCTTACTATAGCCTCAACCTCCCAGGCTCAATCCTGCCTCAGCTTCTCCTGAGTAGGTACGACTATAGGCATGTGCCACCATGCCTGGTTAATTAAAAAAATTTTTTTTTTGTAGAGACAGGGCCCCATTATTTTGTCCAGGTTAGTCTCGAACCTCTGGGCACAAGCTGTCCTCCCACCATGGTCTCCCAAAGTGCTGGGATTGAAGGTTCAAGCCACCATGCCTGGCTCTTTGCTCTCTTTTCATTGACTAATGGTTAACTTTTTTTTGAGACAGGGTCTCACTATTGAACAGGCTGGAGGGCAGTGGCATGGTCTCAGCTCACCACAGTCTTGGCCTCCTGGGCTCAGGTGATCCTACCTCAGGCTGCTGCGTATCTGGGAGACTACAGGTGCACACCACCATGCCTGGCTAATTTTTTATAGAGATGGGATTTCACCATGTTGCCCTGGCTGGGTTAATACCTTTATTAGTAGATTTAGTAGCTTTATTCCTACTGCTTTTTTTTTTTTTTAAACGGAGTTTCACACTGTCACCCAGGCTATAGTGCAGTGGTGCGATCTCGGCTCACTGAAATCTCCGCCTCCTGGGTTCAGGCAATTATCCTCCTTCAGCCTCCCAAGTAGCTGGGACTACAGGTGTGTGCCACCATGCCCAGCTAATTTTTTTGCATTTTTAGTAGAGACAGGGTTTCAGCACGTTGGCCAGGATGGTCTTGATATTCTGACCTTGTGATCCTCCCTCCTCGGCCTCCCAAAGTGCTGGGATTACAGGCGTGAGCCACTGCCCCTGGCCTCCTACTGCTTTTTATTGGAAGGATACATGTGACACAGAGAGTGGCTCTCTGTAGCCCCTGGGCACATAGAGGAAGCCAGAGTAATGTTGGTCATCTAGCCCTGGTCCAGGCTTGCAGGCTGCCATTTCCACCTGGAGTTCAGATGCCAGGCCTCACTCCTCTCCAGGGCCATCTGATGGCTTTCAGGATAGATTTTTTTTTTTTTTTTTTTTTTTTTTTTTTTGTGAGACTTAGTTTTGTTCTTGTCACCCAGGCTGGAGTGCAATGGCATAATCTTGGCTCACTGCAACCTCTACCTCCTGGGTTCAAGTGATTCTCCTGCCTCAGCCTCCCAAGTAGCTGGGATTACAGGTGCGCCACCACACCTGGCTAATTTTTTGTGTTTTTAGTAGAGACAGGGTTTCACCATGTTGGTCAGGCTGTCCTTAAACTCCTGGCCTCAGGTGATCCAGCTGCCTTGGCCTCCCAAAGTGCTGGGATTACAGGCGTGAACCACTGCACCTGGCCCAGGATAGATTTTTTAAAGAAAGAAAAACTAAAATTTTTCTTCTCCCTGCATGATAAACAAAAATTATTCTTCCTCAGAAACAACAAGAAAAAAAAAAAAAAAAGCAATGAGGTCCCAAAACACTCTCCCAAAGTGCAGATCATAGTAAGAGAATGTTTCTGTACCTGAAAATAGAGTTTCTGTCATTCAGGCAAGATTCTAGCTTTGCCTTTTCCCTACTTCCCATTTTCTTTTTCTTTTTCTTTTTTTAAGACAGGGTTTTACCATATTGGTCAGGCTGGTCTCGAAGTCGTGACCTCAGGTGATCCACACACCTCAGCCTCCCAAAGTGCTGGGATTACAGGCCTGAGCCACCGTGCCTGTGCCCGGCCCTACTTCCCATTTTCTACCTCAGAAACAGAAACTGGAATATGAGCGGGTGGAGAATTGCTTTAGAGGAACTGAAATGGAGTTGTAACACTGAGCAGTTTCTAGCCTATGTGTAAACCTGGGTAAGGTGTGAGAGGAGCTCTGCAATAGAGGCACCATTCCATGGAACCCAGTGAATTATAACTATAGTAACTATAGTTTCTTTTTTTTTTTGGAGACGGAGTCTCACTCTGTAGCCCAGGCACTGGATTGCAGTGGTGTGATTTGGGCTCACTGCAACCTCTGCCTCCCGGGTTCAAATAATTCTGCCTCCGCCTCCTGAATAGCTGGGACTATAGGCGCGTGCCACCACCCCCAGCTAATTTTTTGTATTTTCAGTAGAGTTGGGGTTTCACCATGTTAGCCAGGATGGTCTCGATCTCCTGACCTGGTGCTCCACGTTCCTCAGCCTCCCAAAGTGCTGGGATTACAGGTGTGAGCCACTGCGCCCCATGTAACTGTAGTATCTTAATTGATTTAGAGGTGACAGCTTAAACAATGGCTCTAAAAGAAGGTGAAGCTCACTTTATCAAAACCATATTTGACCTTGGATTCCAAAGCTAACTTGTTAATACAGATTTATCTTATGCGAGTGAAGTGGCACTAAATTTGAAACCATAGGAAAAAAACAGTTTTGGCCCAAAATGCTGATCTGTTTCCTTTGACCCTGAAAACTCTAAGGAACTCCAGTTAGGGCTTCCTCAACTTGGTAAGATTTGTAAGTTGGTAGTCTTACTTATCACCCCTAGCTTTCTTCCTTCTTCCTCCTTAGTGAAACAGGCAGCAAGTTAGAGCAAATGGAGCAATATTTAGTGCTAAGTCTTAGAGCCAGCGGAGGGTAATCAACAGGTGCCAAGCTGTAATAACTTGGTACACCCAGAAAAGTCTGGGCTGGAGCCAGGCAGATAACCTAAGTGACTGCCACTGTTCTCTCCCGGCACATAACACGTGCTCATCACCCAGCGCCAGCCAGGCGAGATCAGAGCTGGAGTGACACAGGCATGAATCCAGTGTCTGATCCAGAAATAGTCCCTGGCTGTAGGCGCAGCAAGTAAACAAACGTCCCGCCAGCTGTGGCTGAGATGCACCCTCCCAGGCAGACCTGCCCACCAGGACCATTCCTGGAAGACCACTCCCTGGCCCTGCTTTGGAAGGAGTCTTCCAAGGCTGAGAACAGCCCCAGCCATATGAAGCAAAAATTCTAAATTATCCCAACCAGCTTTGGCCCTACTTCAGTTATAAGACTCAAGATAAGCCAGGTGCGGTGGCTCACCACCTGTAATCCCAGCGCTTTGGGAGGCCAAGGCAGGCAGACTACCTGAGATCAGAAGTTCGAGAACAGTCTGACCAACATGGTGAAACCCCATCTCTACTAAAAATACAAAAAACAATAGCCAGGCATGGTGTCAGGCACCTGTAATCCCAGCTACTCGGGAGGCTGAGGCAGGAGAATCGGTTGAACCCGGGAGATGGAAGTTGTAGTGAGCCAAGACTGCACCACTGCACTCCAGCTTGAGTGCAAGAGCGAGACTTTGTCTAAAAAAAAAAAAAAAAAAAAAAAAGACTCAAGATAGAATACTGCCATTGCCATCTTAGGTTTGTTCGAGGGCTGTTTACTGGAACCCAGGAATAGGTTGTTTAGGGCAGAGATTCATTCATCTAAACAATATTGGTTGAGCCTCTGCCATGCTCCAGGCACTGTGCAAGGTATTAAATAAAGCAGAACAGCATCTTCCCACATAGAATGATGGAGGGGGAATAGAGCCAACCTCATTAATTCTGTGGAAGGTGTAAGCAGAGGTGCTTGGAGAGCATGTGGGAAGGAGATATGAGAGCCCTAGACTAGTTGGGGTCGGGTAGGAAAGAGGCTGTGTTAGGGAGCTGAATCCATAGAAGTGAACAGGAATGAGAGGAAATAGAAGAGTAAGAGCGTGGGGACCAAGAGGAGTCCCAGAAGGAAAACAGCATGTACAAAGGCTTAAAGGCAAAAGAGAACTTGGAGGATGGAAGGTAGTTCAGTGTAGCTGGAGCATAAAGAACAAAGGAGGGACAGACAAG